ATGAACCCACATAACCATTGGAATAATTTCAGAAGGCACGGAATATCGAGGAACCCAAAACGAAACCCGGTCGGACAGCGAAGAAGACCCACATGTGCTGCCTTAAGCCCAGCTTCATCACCATTGGCCGTTTCGTGTCCTTTCTTTTTACAAGGCGTTCGTTCTTCACGGTGGAAGCATCGGAGACCAATCTGCAGGGTGGAAGAAAAAGGCTGGCCTGGTGTGTGTTTTATTTGACCATCCCTGAAATTCTTCGCATCATCGCACAACCTCAAAACGCCACGAAGAACGACCTCAAAAAACTACATTCTTCCGGTCCTGGAAGGAGCTCATGTACGGCCGCGCATAAGAACCGCGCGACTTGCCATGCTTTCGTGGCACAGGAGAGCGCGGGGAAGTCGCGCATGAAGCGAATCTCCGCTGCTCCGCCGGTGCACAAGAAGCTTCGAGCGCGTGTGGAAGGCCATGGAGTCATCGCAGCGGCCGCTGGAGTCTGACAAAAGCATCCTGAGTCTGCGGGATCTTTCGGGTTTGGAGGATCTTTTGAGGCGTGAATTCCTTTGATGGGGGAAACGACTTAAAAAGGAGATGAAATGGATGCGAAAAAGGTACACATTTTCTGGGTGCACTTGGCCACACTGCGAAGACTGGGCTTGATCTTCGGCGGGTTTCATGGCCATCAAGTTGAGAAGGACTTTAAGAAATTGATGCTGTGCCCCCAAATTGGGGTTTAAGCAAACTATACTGTTTGACAGGAAATGACCATATTTTGGGTGGTTGGTGATCCAAAAAAGAGGTCACTCAGGTTCTATCTGGTATGTAATATGTATAAACATCGGTATTATAAAGAGCCATGATCCGAGCGTCGAAGCCCACCGATCTGGGGCAGAGCTCGAGTGCGCTGACTTTTCTGTTCGAAGACCTTCAAGATGATCAAGGCATGTGTGGAAGGACAGTGCTTGCTGAGCAACTGCTGGAAATTGATGTCTCCAGTCTTCTTGAGCATCTGCAAACAGGGCTCCAGGAGTGCGTGATACACCACATCCTCGGATCTTTTTTGCAGCATTGAGGGAGCATTCCTCTGAAAAAGACGACCAGAAACAAGACAGGACCCACAAGTATACATGCATCAACACCTGCGACAGTTCGTCATTCAGCTCCTGGATCCCGGACTCTACCTAAAGAACCGCCCCCAACAAAAACACACATCCAAAGCAAAAGGACATCCAGCATCTTCCAGGCATCCGAGATAGGAGACAGGCTCTTCACCACTCGCTGCGCCACGCCCGGCTTCCCCGTGCCCTTCGCCTCGTTCGCCCTCCGTGTGGCGCTGCGTCGAGGCCCCCGGGGCCTCTTCCGCCCGACGCGGGCGGCGCCGAACTCCGCCTGGGGGGCCGCGGCGGTTCCATCGTCGGCGGAAGGAAGGTTGGTTTTGGTGGTTTTGAGAGGGTTTTGGGAGGGTTTTTTGCTCACTCAGTCATGCACCTTTTGGAAAAGATCCCATTGCAACTCTGCGTTGGCGACGTCTTGATCGGGTTTTGAGGCTTTTTGTCACGGGCTGGGGGGAATCTTCGCAACTCTTGGCGTTGGCGTCAGACATCAGGAATGAGAAGAATACAACTCTGGGACTCACTCTGAGAATTCCGGGAAGAAAAGAGCTGTCAGAGCAAAAACCTTGATCATTACAGATGTTCCTATAGTTACACCATCCCTACTGATCCTTTTTGGGGTGTCCCAATGGGTGCCCCACCTGCCGCCAGGACTCTTCCCCACATGGGCCACTGCCCGCGGCCGCGAAGTCCTCGCTCAAGATCCACGCGGCGCAGCGCCGCGCGCCGCCGGCGTCGCCCGGCAGCGTCCGCAGGACGTGGCGCGCCGGCAGTCCTGTCGGCGCGGGGCACTGTGGTGGGCGACTGGAGCCGCTGGTGGACTGGGGCCGGTTTGAGAGGTGTAGGAATTTCCACACTTCCGACAAAAACGAAAGACATTCTGAGATGCGATCCTTTTCCGGCGTTTCAGGCTTAGCTGGATGTCACCCTGAAAGTCCAAGACTGTTCATGGTCTTTAGGTGACCCTGAAAGAAACTTACTTTACTTCAACGATCTTCCAACCGTGCAACATTTATGCCTTTTGGTTGATTTAATTGATGAACAGGCAGAAATTCTGCACAGTTGGAAGATCCAGGTATAGTCTTTGGACTTCTATAGGGTGTCATAAAGGTCCATCCGCGCCTGGTTCTACAGAGGGAACCCCTCTCCTCAAGCAGCCAAAC